GGGGGGTTTGCATATTATATACCAATTACATTGTTGTCATATGATTTAGAAAGATCCAAGCTTCAGACTTATCAATTTGCTATGAAATTTTGAGGTTTGCTGCCCACCAGGGCTTGAATTTTATTGTGGCAATTGCCGTAGAGGGAGTCAGGGCAAAATGCCGTGGATCATTGCAGGGTGATGCGGTTAACCGAGATGAATCGGTTATTTTTACAGATTGGTTTCACGAGTCTTCTAAATATCAGATAACCGACTAACCGAAAAACCAATTCAAAATATAAAATTCAAAATAAAAAGACAAACAAGCTACATGTGATCAACATAAAACTATAAGCAAGCTACATTATACTCTTTGGTGATTACACAATTTAAATCAATGCTAGAAGCCTAGAAAAGCGCTGCAACTCAAATGGCAGATTAAAAGCATATCAAAACAAGCTTAAAGCTTCCGGTTTGATTAGCTAAGAGAAAGGCGGACGTCTGTGAAGACGTCACATGGATAACACACAAGACATGTTGTTTATTTTTGTCAGAATAATTTCATTGATTAAAAGAGTCGGTTATCTCGGTTATTTTGTGACGATTCTCAGTTTTGGTTATTTTACGAAACTGCATCACCCTAGATCATTGCGGCAACGACAACAATTTTTTGCCGTACAGTACAATTTTTATATTATTCACTGTGCATTACTATTTTGATACTTGAATTCAGATGTTGATCAAATGGGTCATTCCAGAAAACATCCAAACCACCACTTCTAGAACAGTGACATGTACCCTAATGTTCCAAGGGGGAGGGCGTTGATCTCCCGATCTCCCCCATAGGCGAGTGCAAATGCTTTTTGGAATGACCATTAGAGAACAAAACCTTTTCTAACTGGTCTATATACAACTGATATATCATATTGAAACTACAAAACCATACAGTTTATACTGGATAGATATTCCAAATTTGTCAATAGTAATTTCACTACGATATACCAAATTATATATTTAATTGTTATGCTTATAATATTGTATAACAAAACTACATAAAATACTCGTTATAAGAAATAAAAATAACTTTGAATTGCTCATACACAAGCCAAGATAGCTCACAAAGCAAAAGATATAAGTTAAAATGAACATTATATAAAGCTGCTTTTATACTCTATGAAAACAACCAATATTTCATACCTCGAGAACTTGATAAAATCATGTCGGGTCGTTGAGGTGTCGTAGCTATCTGAGTCACCCAGCCACTGTGCCCTTTCAAAGTGCCACGAAGAGTCATTTGTTCTGCCATTTTGGCGAGTTTTTGTGGCTCGATTCAAATGGATTTGAAATCTATCGTCCTTTCTCTGCCACAAAAAAGTAGAGGAAGCCTGAGAGAAGGCTGCGGGCTAAACTGCCCGGCGTTTCCGAATTCCCACCCTAAAATTTCTCACGCCTGCGTTCACTCAGGCAGTTCATTATCCAATTATGTTGCCATAACAACGCGTCGTGATGATGTTCTAATCAAAGCAAAAGTCTCAATTAGAGAATAAAATCCTTCGAAAAAAACATCATTTATAAAGGATCGTATTTAACAGATCGATGCGCTAATTTCTTAGGTATGTACTATATTATTCAAGCTTTTCGCGTTTTGCAAAGCTTTATTTTGTAGTTGATAATTTCATTTCATTCGCAAATTTATAAACTGTCCAATTTTAGGATTTTTTTAAATGCGCTCTGAAGAAATGTTAGTTTAGTTTAGGTTTCCTCCTGTAATAATACCGGATCAATAAGAGACAATCCTTACTGGACCTCTAGGGAGAACAGTTTAAAACTGATAGAACTATCCAGTATAAATAAAGTTAGTTTAGTTTAGTTTTCCCCCTGTAGTAACACTGGATCAATAAGAGATGATCCCTACTGGAACTCTAGGAAGAACAGTTTAGAAATGACAGAACTACTCAGTATAAATAAAGTGAATGCAATGTACCTTAATAGTGAATCCTATTTCAAACCAATTAGATTTTTGCATCCTATATTTTTGTCCTAGGTTCACACCCGTCACAGAGATGTCAGCTAAATGCCTATCCTTTGGTCCGCCAACAAAACACATCTTACAAAGCAATGGGCCGGACTCGGACTTGCATAAATTCTACATCACAGAGTACTCGACTAACTATGGTCAAGAGGGGTACACCCCTCGCCCCGGCAAACACCATGGGACGGGGTACAAATCAAATTTTCGACCTGGTGTATATTACAGCAGACGCTTGGATGAACTTGATAATCCATCGATGGGGTGAGTAAAGCTGGTTTTCCACCATGAGAATTCCTTTGCAGGATTAGCAAATTTTTCCTCTGTCGGCATCGATTTTGCTGACATGATTAACAGCCCTTATTGAGTCATCGTTCATAGGACATTTGTTCATCGGTTGAAACTTGATGTTTATTGGATGAAAGTTGACGTTACTAGGGGCGAACTTCATTGTTGTGATAACCCATTGAGTCGTATTGCACCCTAGCTGACATGCCCTATTTTATTATTTTACTCTGTCCAATGCCAGATGATTTTACTTGTCAAGTGGAGAGCACTGGCACTTAATGGGTTAATTATACTGGCCTAATTTATCAGCCCATGTGTCAAGTTAACAAATTGAGTTGCATTGCGCCCTACTTTATTATGTTACTCTGTCTAACACCAGACAATTTTACTCGTCAAAGGGAGAGCGCTTGCGCTTAATGAGTTAAGGTAAAACTTTCTCTACCGTAGAGACTCTACCAAATGAGAGTGTGAGGTTGTTTATGTTGGATGTTCATGAAATTTTGTATTTTATTCTCAACAGACGGCTAGTCGCAGATAACTATACATCTCTAACGAAAAAGCATTTTCTGCCAGTTTGTGGGTCGAATGGTAACGATCCATTTGCCAGAGAGATGGTGATGCGTTCATCTGGATTTATAAAGGAAATACCAGTAACAATTCCGAGATCACATGAGGTATGTGGTGATTGTGGTGGCTTAAAGTGATAGTGGTGGTGTGATGATGATGACTGCAATGCTGACAACGCTGATGATGGTGGTATAATGGTGGTGGTGGTACCGGTAATAATGGTGCTGGTGATGATGGTGGTGATGATGATGATGGTGATGATGATGATGAGGTGATGATGATGATGATGGTGATGATGATGGTGATGATGATGATGAGGTGATGATGATGATGATGGTGATGATGATGGTGATGATGATGATGATGATGATGGTGATGATGATGATGGTGGTGATGATGATGATGGTGATGATGATGATGATGATGGTGATGATGATGATGATGATGATGATGATGATGGTGATGATGATGATGATGATGGTGATGATGATGGTGATGATGATGATGGTGATGATGATGATGGTGATGATGATGGTGATGATGATGGTGATGATGATGGTGATGATGATGATGAGGTGATGATGGTGATGATGATGATGATGCTGATGATGGTGGTGGTGTGGTGATGATGGTAGTGATGATGATGATGAAAATGCTGATGATGATGGTGGTGATGATGATGATGACAGTGGTGATAGTGGTGTGATGACAATGATAATAATGTTGGTGATGAAGGTGGTGGTAGTGACAATGATGGTGATGACAGATGATGGTGGTGGTGTGGTAATATTGATGGTAGTGTTGGGTGATGATGATAGTCAGATGATGGTTATTTTTTCAGGTTTCCAGTGTATTTGTTGATAAAGCAAGATGGGGAACGGTTTATCCCAAGGAAGTTCCATACCTGCAGAGAATTCAGCCAAAAGATCCGATATCACTCGAGACCTTAGGACATGTAAGAACACCTACAACTTTCTGTTATTTGGCTACCAATCATCTGCAAATTAGAGGGGTGCGGTTTCCATGGGGTGGTGCATGAGGGAGCCTTACTGTCCACTCTCCTCTGCAGTCTGCAACGCTACTATCCCAACATTACCATTATTTGAGATGGCCGAATCTGCATGTTCGACGTTCTGTTACGTTTTACATTATCTTTTGTTTATAAAGTTTATATCAGCTTTTTATCACGTATGCGTGACTGGACAGTTGCTGCAGCACAGTACAGTAAATTTGCTTGTTAAAGTACAGTATATTCGAAAATATGGGTGCATAACAACCATATTTAACCATGATATTTAACTAAAACATTCTGAGTATTTTCTCGTGAGCTGATCAATTTTATCGTTTCAAGAAATCGACACGCGCTAACAGTAGAAGTCCCGCTAATTCGAAAAGCAGAAAATGTATGGTCAAGCAGATTTTCTTAGGGTGATGCAACCTAGTGATGGGCGATACCGAGTACTCGGTATTCGATACCAGCGATACCACAAACAGCGGTATCGGTATCGATTACTGACGTGGTATCGTTCGATACTTGCACCCTTTTTTGAACGACTTGTTTAATTTCACTTCTTGGTTGAATAAGACTTAATAAACCACTAAAATAACTCTTAATATTCCAAATGTGGTGCGCCAAGTCATGTATAG